AATGGTCGAGGACAGGGATGGACACCAAGTGAAGGCGAGGGGGAGAGGGAGGTGGCCATAGGCGCACTTGAAGAGGCGGGCTGCAAAGGGGGGCGTTAAAGACAGATACTGTGATGCAGAGCAAAACAATGAGGAAGGTATGTCCTTAACGAACATTCATAGGATAGACAGAAAACAGCCATTTAGATCATCCAGGTTTTGCTGGTATTTCCAGCACCTCGGGATGTGTTCCCGACGCGAAAGGCGCTCTAGAAACGTAATTTGTTGTTGTTGTTATTTCCGTCCACATGAGCTGCCTCAGAGAATCTAATCCCACCCTCAACCTCACTTCCCACATCCTTCAGTATTGTTTTTCAAACATCTAATTTTATTTAAAATAATTTATATACAACAATAATAATCCTTGCATTTGATATAGCGCCTTATCACGTCTTCGAGACGTCTCAAAGCGCTTTCACAGGATATACCATAATGTGAATTGACTGTATATTTTGTGGGTGAAACGCGGCAGCCGATTGCGCACAGCAGCGTCCCACAAACAGCCGTGGATTGAGTGACCAAATTATTATTACTTTTCCTTTTGAGGAATTGTTACCCCTGGATTGGCGACCGCAAATTGACTAACACAGCAGGTTCCTACTTACTGCTGGATAAACAGAGGCGTGCGGAGTAAGGAAACTTGCCCAACATTTCGCACCGCCCGGGAATCGAACCCAGATCCTCCCACTCGCGAGGCGAGTGCTCTAACCACTGAGCCACAGGATAGCCTCAACAACAGACAGAGTCCATTAGGACTGTCTGTACCATTCATGAATGGCATAAAATTTCAGAACCTGTTGGTTCAGCAAAGGTCTCATGAAATGAATCCCATTGACTTGACCATCTTATTAACAGACACTCAATTAGCCGGAGCAGGAATATGGTTGAGGTGACAAAGGCTCAGACGGAATCAAATCCGTTTGATTTAAAATATTGTGCAGAATCGTGAAGAATTTCTGAAGTTCATTTTAATTTGGAGGCCAAATCTGAGAATTTCCCACAAATTTTGACGCAATCGTTCAACTTGAGCTGGCGTGATAATGTAATAATATTAATAATCATAATAGTAATCCTTGCATCTGATATAGCGCCTTTCACATCAGATGGACGTCTCAAAGCGCGACCCAGGATTTACTGTACTGCGATAGTGACTTACTTACTACAATGGGCATTTGTTGGCATAGTGATCACTGGTGCGGAGTGGGTAGTGGAGAAGCTGGAATGTGCACAATCAGCTGCCCCGTTTCGCCCACGAAATATCCGGACGTTAGAGTGTATTCTGCGAAGCGCTTTGAGACAACAACAACAACACGACGACAACAAATAACATTTATACGGTGCCTCTCGTGTTGGGAGGACCTCCCAAGGAGCTGGACAGTCAGGGATTTGGACCTGAGCCGGGTGAGGGGTGGGTGGGGGGGGGGGGGATCAGGATTGGGTTGAAGGGCAAGGAGCGTAGGGGACAACAACAACAACTTGCACTTATGTAGCGCCCTCCGTGCAGAGCGCTTGACAGTGGCGGAGCCTGACTCCGAGCCGGGCGGGTGGAGGTGGGAGAGGGAGAGGTGGCCGTGAGCACAGTCTGGTCGTATGCACGGTCTCCATCGATGGTTGACCACGTGAAAAGACTATATCAAATGCAAGGATTATTATTATGGTAGTGACTGGGTGGAGTGGGAGGTTCAGATGCAATGGTCACGTACTGAAAAGCACTTGTGCAGGAAATTTGGAGGGTGGGGGGTTTAAAGACTGACAATAATCCTGTGTAGGCCAACAGAAGGCATTACTGTCTCTTTAAATGAAGCAGTGTTGGGAGACACCACCCCCACTGATCGTGACATTACCAATGGAGCACAACAGAGGCTGTTCACTGTTCCATCACCCTCCTCCTAACTCGGTAGTTTCACAGCGTGTGCAGTATCTAGGGCTGAACGAACCACAGAAGGTGCTTTCATTCCAACCTGGCATTTATTATAACTCGGCTGCAACCTTCGACGCGTGTCGTATTCAGCAAAGAAAATGGGAATGAATCAGAAACTAATCGGGAAAGAAACCAAGGCAAAATACTAGGAGTAAAACTCTGGATACACCTGAGAAAGAAACCAGGAAATAAATTGGATTTCAACAGCACAGAAAAAAATCTGTATATGCTTCACTTAATAATGATAATAATAATAATCCTTGCATTTGATATAGTGCTTTTCACGTCGGGAGGACGTCCCAAAGCGCTTCACAGAACACACTGTAAAGTGAATTGACTGTATATTTGTGGGCGAACGCGGCAGCCAATTGCGCACAGCAATGTCCCACAAACAGTCGTAGATTGAAAATGACCAATTTATTATTGTTTTTTTTGTTTTGGAGGGATTATTATTAGGCTCTGTGTGGAGTAAGGAAACTTGCCCAAGGTTTCGCCCTCTGCCTGGAATTGAACTCAGGTCTCTCACTTGCAAAGTGAGTGCTCTAACCACTGAGCTACAGGACTCCACATAATAATAATCCTTGAATTTGATACAGTGCCTTATCACGTCTTCCAGACGTCTCAAAGCGCTTCACAGGATATACTGTAAAGTGAATTGACTGTATATTTTGTGGGCGAAACGCTGCAGCCAATTGCGCACAGCAGCGTCCCACAAACAGTCGTGGATTGAGTGACTCCCTTATTATTATTTTTGGGAGGGATTATTACCCCCGGAAAGCGATCCGCCAATCGACTAACAACGGAGTTCCTACTTACTCCTAGACAGAGGCGTGCGGAGTAAGGAATCGTGGCAGTGAATCGAACCCGAGTCATTTCAATTGCGAGGCGAGCGCGCTAACCACTACCTTACGGGACTCCATAATAATCCAGATGTGGCCCCACCAATCTGGATGGGGTTTTACAGGAAAGTCATTCAACTCAACTCTCTTATCAGTGGCTTCACACTGACTGGAAGCTGTAAGGATAATCAATAATTACTCCCAATTCCTTTTCCTTCCCCGCATCTCTGTGGTTCTTGTTTGACATCGTTTTAGTATTCTGCATTTTATTGTCCATCATAGAAGCTCAGCTGTTATTTATTGTTATCGATAGCACATCATGTCTGGATTGTCCTCATAAATACATCCTGGATATCCTGTAATATTTTACAAGATGTGTAAGGCTGCGCATTCATTGATGCTTTGTTGCTGTGTGAATGAAATGATCTGAATAATCGCTCCAATTCCTCCCATGAAATCCTCAGGGGAAAGCAAGTTCACAGGACCAGTACTTTTTGTGTGAGAGGTGGCTATGGAATTGATATTTGATTTGTAAATAGTTTACCTTAGTTGTAATAATCCCTGCATTTGGTGTGCAATCATATGGTTTGAGCGCTCTGGGACGCTATCCTGCGTGAGGGGGAATGCTATGTAAATACTTGTTGTTGTTGAGACATCTCAAAGTGCTTTTTAAGACTTTGCTGTTAGTGCGCAGTGAAGTGTATTTGTACGCAGGTGTGAAAATGGGACGTCTCAAAGCCCTTCACGGAATATACAGTAAAGTGAATTGACTGTATGTTTCGCTCACAAAACACACAGTCACTTCACTTTACAGTATATCCTGTGAAGCGCTTCGGGACGTCTAGAAGACGTGATATGGCGCTCTATCAGATGCAAGGATTATTATTATGTGGCACAGCAATGTCCCATAAACAGCCATGAGGTGTATGACAAATTTTATTGGGGGGTTTGGGGGTTTGGGGGGTGGGTGAGGAATTTTTCACCAGGACAAACTCCCTTCTATATTTGAATAGAGATCCTTAATGTCGAACTTAACAGAAAGGTTTAACATCTCACCCCAAGGTGGGGGGAGAGGGTGGGAGGGTTGGGGGGGGAGTGGTGTTTGAACCTCCAGCAATGCAGCGCTCCTCCAAGTACTGCACTCAAGTGTCAGCCTAGACTGTGAGCTCAAAATCTCAGCCAGAGGCTTGAACCCACAACCTTGTGACTCAGAGGCGAAAGTGTGTGTAACCGAACCAGGCTGACACCGTACGAGTCCAGCAAGGAGAACTAGCAATAAAGTAAAAGCAGAAAACACAGGAGGTGAGACTCCGAAAGCCACCGGGTCCACAGTGACAACTTTACAAACATTCCCCAAAACACCAAACCCTCACTCACTCCCCTGAGAGGGATTCTCCCTAATCGCTCCGATGGGAGGCACGACATCCAGCACTGATGGCTTCGGGGCTGCAGGTCGCTAACTGTTCCGAAACCTTGCAACAAAGAAGTCTGTGGCTGTGTCTGTAAACTCAGACGTGCTCTGTGTTTAAACACTGTCCCGTAAAGGCAGCGTATTCACATACACAGCGATCGCTTTGATATGTGACACTGTAATTACTGTAACAACCATGTAGAAAATTAGCACTCTATCCAGACACTTGTGCTATATCCAGTGCATATGGTATATATATATACATATGTGTGTACAATGCACCAATTAAGTCCTGTACACTGTATCATAGTCAATGTCCTTTCACACCAGACCGATAATATCGATCAGTAAAGTCTGCTCAGAGGCACCAAAGAGACATTAAATATGTATCAATGATCGATAGGTCTCACACACACACACCCACTGAAGCTCAACTCCAGTTTGTCGGAATGAGACTTGGAATGCAAACCCCCAGGAAGTGTAGACCGATGGCAAGTTTCGCCCCCAAAATCCACAGTCGGTTCAGTTCACAGCGTATCCCGTGAAGAGCTTTGAGACGTCTCGAAGACGTGATGGGGCGCTGTATCGAATGCGAGGATTATTATTGGGATTAGAAATGCGTGAGTCCAGGGAACGCAGAGAACAAAATAAATAAAGTGATGAGAAACAGAAGGAAAAAGATGGGGACAGAGTGAGGGAGGGGTGGAGGATGGACACCGAGGGAGAGAGATTGAGAGAGAGGGGAGAGAGAGAAAGCTGTGACCAAGCTGGTTGGCAGCTGTGTACATACCACATTGCTGAGAAAGTCAGTCTCATTCAAATCTTCCAGATCCACCAGGTTCGAAGCTGCAAAAAGTTTCTCTGCCCCAAAGTTGTCCAAGATATCCATAATGCCAGGAGTCGCTGAGACGTTGGGGTGGGGGGGTTGGGGTGGGGGGGGTGTCAAGCTCTCTGGTGAGTCTCTCCACAGGTTGAGGTGTGACAGCTGGCAAAATCCAGCTTCTCTCTCTCTCTCTCTCTCTCTTCCTTTTAAACTTTTAAATTCTCTTTACCTCCAGTTGTGATCACAATCTCCTCCTGATTGATCACAGGCTGGGAATGTTCCCAGCTGATCGCTGCGAGCCCTCCAGCAGTCAGTGAGACGGAGAGAGAGAAAGAGAGTGAGAGTGAGAGAGAGAGCGCCTTTAAACTCTTAACTCGCGACGCTGACAATCTGATGATGTCTGTGGAAATGTTAAAAGACCGATCCGTCGGCGCAGACCGTCCTCGATCTATCTTCAGGGTTCTTTCTGTCTGTGTGCGTCGGCTTGTGTTGTGCGTGTGTTGTGTGTGAGTGTTGGAAATCTCTCTCTCACACACTTACAGTAAACTGCAATAGAGCCCCAGAATAACTAGCTCACTGCCTCTCTCTCTCTCTCCACCGCTCACTCCGCCAGTAAAAGCAATCTCACACACACACACACACACACACACTTACGCACTCACAAACACTTCACGTCACCTTCTCGCTTGCAGTTAACCCTTCGAGAACTCGAGTACAGTAGTGAAATAAATCCACCTCTTTTTCTCGCCGTTTCTGCTTCAGTGTCAGTGTGTGGCTTATCTATCGACACTTCTGTACACATTTTATTTGACCGCGTGCTGGGCGCCATTGGTTGCCGCTCACAAAACATGCAGTCAATCTGCTTTACAGTGCATTCCGTGAAGCGCTTTGAGACGTCTCGAAGATGCGATGAGATGTGATATCAACTGCAAGGATTATTATTAGAATTATTAAGAACACCAGAAGTTGGACAGCGGGAGAAGAAGCGTTGGGTAGTGAGTCTCCAGTGTAAGGAGATCAGCAAAGAGACAAAAAGTAGCAACTTACCCTTAAAAATAAAAGAATTTGGAAACTGAATCATTCATCAGTTGAACAGCACCACATGTGTTTTAGCAGCTGTTACGCGTGAGATTGGATACCTGCTTTTTCAAAACCGAAATCTGCCCCAGACCTTAAAATGTCTAATTTTATATATTTCTATTTTCGTCGCTTGTACAGCAAAAAAACAATCTGCACTTCAAGTGGAAGATTTGGCCCCCTGTGACAGATGTCGTGGGTTCAAGTCCAAACTCCAAACGTCTCAAAGCGCTTCACAGAATAAACTATGAAGTGAATTGGCTGTGTATTTTGTGGGCGAAACGCGGCAGCCAATTGCGCACAGAAGCGACTCACGTAGAGTGACCGAATTTTTAAAAAATATTTGTAAAAAAATTTCGTAGGGTTATCCGCCTAGGAATTGAAACGCTTGCGAGGCGAGGGCTCTAACCAGTATGCCACAGGATTCCCAGAACTGTATACATGGCTGACGCTCCAGAGCAGTGCAGGGGGAGCAATGAGACATTAAACCGAGGTCCCGCTTGTCTGTTCTGGTTAAGGATCCCATAACACTAATCAAAAAGCGAAGAGGGTTGCTCTGTTGACTCCAACTAAACGTCAGTAAGGCCGAGGCCCTCCTAATTGGCTCGCGCCAGCGCCTCCGCACCTTGGGCGCTGGCAACATCAGTCTCCCGGCTGCACACTCAACCTCACTAAGCCAGTCAGGAACTTGGGTGTCTTGTTTGACCCTGAACTGTCCTTTCTCCCCCATATCCGCGCCATGACCGGCATTGCCTACCACCACCTCCGCAACATTGCCAGACTCCGCCACTGCCTCACCCCTCAGGCCTCCGGAACCCTCACCCACGCATTCATCACATCAAGGCTCAATTATGGAAACTCCCTCCTCATCGGCCTTCCCAACTCTTCCCTTCACAAACTGCAGATCATCCAAAACTCTGCAGCTCGTAAACTCTCACACACCAGGCTCCGTGACCCCATCACTCCCACCCTCGCCTGACTTCACTGGCTCCCCATCCCCCAGAGGATCGAGTTCAAGATCCTCGTCCTCATTTTCAAGGCCATCCGTGGCTTTGCCCCCTCCTACCTCTCTGACCTGCTGACTCCCTACCAACCTGCCTGCTCCCTCCGCTCATCAGTCCTCGGCCTGCTCCAGTTCTCCCGCCCGACCTGCCCTACCATCAGTGGCCGGGCTTCCAGTGTCTCTGCCCCTATACTCTGGAACTCCATCCCACGGTCCCTTCGCCTCGCTTCCTCCCTTACCTCCTTCAAGGCTGGTCTCAAGACTCTCCTCTTCGACCGCGCCTTTGGTCTCCCTCCCACCTCTCTGCCTTCCCTCACCCCTACACCCCCCCTCCCCCATGCTCGGGTCCCGACCCCTTGGGTCCAGCGCCTTGGGACGTCCTCCCGACATGAAAGACGCTCTATAAATGTCATGTTATTGTTGTTGTTGTTGACTCTCTTCCAGATAAATTCGTCAATTAACTCACAGCTGTTTGTGGATCTTCATTGCATACAAATGCCACTGTATTTGCCTACAGGTACATAGTCACTACACTTGGCAGCAAATCTCTGTGAAGCCCTTAAAATGATTTTCACATTATAAGGGACTGTATTAAATGCAAAGATTTGTAGTAGTTCTAAAAGAAATTGGAAAGGACAAATGTAAACCCAATAATGCTGGAGTTGTGCTGGAAGCACAATGTTTAATAGATATTACAGTAACAATACCATTCTGAACCACGTGATAAGGCACTGTGTCAAATGCAAGGATTATTAGTGTTATAATTACTAGTGTTTTTTATGTTTGGAGTCTGCAGAAAATACACCTGAAGCTGTGGAGAAATTAATATTTAAATTGAGACACAATTCAACAATGGCGCAAGCATTAAATATCCCTCTTCTGGAAGAGGTCCCTTTTCAAAATGTTCAGTTAAAAAAAAATGCATTTGGTTCTAAGATCCAATGAGAAGAGCAAAGAGGAGGGTCTCAGCCGAACGCACCCCCCAGCACTGTTTTGAAAGTAGTTCAGGGCTAAGGAGAGACTGGTCGTTCCATTAGGAGAAACGCAGAGAAGTGAGGTGGAGTGGAGCAGTGAGATTCACCCGCAAAATCCACTTTACAGTGTACGTGGAGCCCTGTAGCGCGGAGGTTAGAGCAAGCGAGAGAACCCGGACTAGATTCCCTGAGCAGGGCGAAACGTTGGGCGAGTTTCCTTACTCCCAACACGCCTCCGTTTACCCAGTTAGTCGATCGGTGGATCGCTTTTCCGGGGGTAAAAATCCCGTCCAAAAAAAAAATTGGATCACTCAATCCACGACTGCCGCGTTTCGCCCACAAAATGCACGGTCGATTCACTTTACGGCGTAGCCTGTGAAGCGCTTTGAGACGTCTCGAAGACGTGATAAGGCGCCGTGTCGAATGCGAGGCTTATTATTATTAAATACGGTGCATTGAGCTAAAGCCATCATTTTCCTGGTGAACAGAGTAGCAACAGGTCATTCTTTTTTTCTCAGGAAGATCTGCAAACCACAAAGGTGTCAAACGAACCTTTGCAAAATGCGATTGTTATTTCTTGGCGCTCCCATCCCACCTAAAACCTTTCTGTTCGTGCTTACAGTCACCTCTCACCGTGGCCCGGGGTCAGACTCCGCCATCATCAAGCAAACTCTTACCTCCCACACGAAGGGCGCTATATAAACGCAGGTTGTCGGGTCTTAATCCACTCTTAATTTCTCCCTCCTTTTATTGGTCTGATCTCACTCTTCCACAATATCACGGAGCCAGAGGATTGGCACCGTTTGGAACTCACTTCCTGAGTCGCTTTCAAAAGGGAACTGGACGGGTACTTAAAACAGGAAAAAATCTGCAGGGCTATGGGGTAAGAGCGGGAGAATGGGACTAGTCGGTAGCTCTTTTAAAAGAGCCGGCACAGGCACAGTGAGTCGAATGGCCTCCTTCTGTGTCATATGATTCCATGACTCTAAGCTGTTCCTTAAATGAGTCCAACCTCCCGGCTTTAACTACCCAGCAACCTGTTCCTCCAGTAAGGTTCATTGCCCGTTTGAAGTGCAACCACCCAACTTTCTGTTCTATTTGTAAGCAATTTCTGGTGAGGTGGGACTACTAACGCCTCTATTTTTATGTAAATGGAGAGAGAGGAAGAGAGAGAGAAAAAAAAAGTAATTTATTGTCTCGCAGTGATGCTAAACAGATAAAAACTCACAGCGATGTGATTTCCTGATGTTTACACACCTTTACATTAGCACTGCTAACCAGAGCAGTGTCAGAAGTGAGGATTGACTGTTTGCTTTGTTTAAACATCGTCTTACAGTATCTTCTTATTTCCTTATATATTGCTTTCTTGAATGCTGTCACTTGTGTGGTACTTGCCTGCAGCGAGATAATGTTATTTTTAATCATCGCTGTACAGTAGGTAGGGGGTCATTTTACACAGGAACAATAATGAATCATCTTCCAGCTAATAAATAAAGATCTGGTTGCTGAGAGCAGTCTCTCAGATCAGCGTGTCTAAGGCATAGAGCTCCGAATTATTTTTAGTTACGTGATAAAGATGTGGGTATAGGATATCAGTACAGTTTTAAAGCTTGCTCACAATGTAATCTTGCCCAAGGGCACACAATAGAGCTACAAAATACAAGTAAGAAAATATAACACTGACATTTAGCACAGGAGATAGAAGATACACAGACAAGATAGCCTACGACAATGCAAACACATAGCGCTGAACAAAGTAGATTTCTACACAGAGTAAAGAAGGGAGGAATATCACACAGACACGAACGTAAGACAGTACGTACACAAACAGAGTGTAGGATGGTATAATACAACCCAGACACAATATAGAGAGGTTATGCATCTATATATATAATATATATATATATGTGTGTGTGCACACACTTAGACTGAACGCACAGCAGTTAGACAAGTAAGGCAGTGGATGTTTACCGGAAACCAAATACAATGGGCTTTAGATAGATATCTGATGGCGATGGAGAATTGGGGCTAAGAGAGAGGAATTGTTGATATAAAATGGGAGCTGGCCAGATGGACTGCGATGCACTTGCACATTCCTAAACTCCGAAAATTCTTGGAATATGTGGCAGCTGCTCAGTGGTGCCCAGTTTGGAGTCGTTAGCGCTGATTTGATGTGGTTTTCCCGTTGATTCAAACCTAAAAGTGTAGCGTTACCTCAACACCCAACGTCGTCGGTTAGACTTGAAGTCTTGTTGCTAAAGTTCCTTTGCTCGAAACCATCTTGATTGATGTTGAGAATGGGACTGAGGCACGTTACAAAGATTTAGAACAAGCCACTCGGCCCAACCAGTCCACCTCAGTGTCTATACTCCACAATAGTCTTCCCCCTCACACCCTTCTCTCCCCACATTCTCTCCCCCCAACACCACCACCCTTCTCTTCTCTTCTTCACCCTTCTCTGCCCCCTCCACCCTTCTCTTCCCCCCTCCCACCCTTTTCTTCTCTCTCCTCCATCCTTCCCTCGCCCCCCACACCCTTCTCTTCCCATCCCACCCTTCTCTTCCCCCCTCTCACCCTTCTCTTCCCCCTTCTCACCCTTCTCTAAGGTAAATTCTCAACCAGAAAAGTAAGAGGTCAATGTTCCTGAGTCCCCATCTTTCCAAAGCAGCTGTCACGTTCCCAGCAGTAAGATAAACTAGT